GCAGTCACTGTGTGGAGATAAAACCATCTATTCCTCCATTCTTTCCTAGAGGTGGGGCAATTAAAGGGGATGTACTTGTCCCTGTTGACGTAAAACACGACGACTCGGGAGATTCGCTTCACTCCAGTGTAGGTCTAAGGCTTGCCTCTAATGCTAAGAGCGTGCCAGCTAGTTTGATCTACAACTAACAAGAGAAAACAGAAAAACGTAATTAGATGAACGATAGCCAATTGGCCAATCGAGCCGACGACATATCGTCAGGACCCAGCAAATACGGGTAAACCTAATCGGCTGTGGCTTTATGATAGTCAATGAAAGCAAAACCCTAAATATGCCCTATCGGCTGTAATACTGCCTCTTTAGCTTTTATGAATTATTTTAAGACAATATTACGGAAATAGCTGATAGATCAATATTTAGAGCAAAGATAGATAATATACTGGCTAATACTCCAATATAAACTTATGTGAGTAAATTAATCTATATAAACATATCAAATAGGAATTGATCACCAGATATGAAGTTTGGGCAATATCAATCTAACTTGATGCGTCTATATAGAACAATCTAATCATATAAGTAGCAAATATACGTAGATAGACCATGAAACATATGCTATCATGCATATTAGGTAAGATCAGTTGAAACCCCGATATTATCCTTAATTATGATTAACTCCAGGTTAGTTTTTACAATTCTAAATACGGCTAGGGGTGATGCATCACAAAGTATACAAAGAAGCATAAAGTCTAAACAATCAAGGAGTTAAACACTTTTCAGGATGGTAGATACCTTAGTTAATCTAATCTAGTAAGACGATTTAGCCGATACCAGCATAAACCCTAAAACAAGTGTCAGTCGATAGAACTAAATCGAGATACTAAGACTAGATTAACTAAGATATATGATATCAATAACCACGATAAAAGGACTAATACATCTAAAACGACATAATAGCCCCGATAGCGCAAGCCATCGAGACAAGTTACCTTTTGTCGAGAAATTGCAGCCGATGCCTCGACTTGAAGCAAGAACTTGTCGAAAAGTAAAACAAAAAGGGTGGCGCTGCACCGAAAGTTGTATTGATTGATTTCGATCCCTTATTACAATGCCCTGGGGTTCATATTTATACCTCGAGTACAAAACTTGTCCATTACGGACACGACTCACACTTTCCTAAAGATAAAATACAAGCAACTCTTACCATAACTCTAATTTAAATCGACAAAAATATCCTAATTAATAGATACAATTGCCTTAAATGAGCTCAATCTCTATACGGCAATATCATTTATTCCAATCTAGGCCCAACCCAAGCCCAAGTTAAACCATATCGGTTGCTTGCCATATCGGTAGTCTGTCTCCAACTTTGTTTCCAGCCGATGCAATGCCTAGTTGATGCACAGTTCGATTCTTAATCCAACTCGATTCTGCACCAAATCCGCCTCGAGTATGATGCAAAATTCCGTTGTTAACAGTCCTGCATCCCATCTCTAAGGCGAAGACCATAGCAGCCTGTGATCCTTGATTGCTCCATGAATATAACCTCGTAAAATTATCTAAATAGATCTAGAAAGGGTCGCGCTCCGAGGTACACCTCACATAGGTGGGTGATGATGGTAAGAAAGGCGATCGAATTTGGATTCAAGTGAAGGAGGTGTAGGTCACAGTAATCAAGGAAGAGAATCCACATTTGACGAAAGAAGAAATGATTATGATTTTTCCAATAGTAGGATAAGGATCGGTACCACCTTTTGTGCGCTCAATCGCCCGAGCATTTGGAAGCGCCCCATCGCACTGGAGCTTGTCCATGGCCGCCTTGTTGACATTGGACTGTAGGAGATCGATGGCGAACTTGGTGGTGGAAGGGAAAGTTTTGGTTAGGGTTTTTCTGTGCGTTGTGGTGGATTGGGAGCGGAAAGGAGGAAGAACAACAATACTTGCAAATGGAACCCAAATGAATCTCAGAAGCGAGTTTTATAAACCACAGGTGATGATTCATATTTTGAGAAAGGTTGTCGGTGATATGGGCCTGGGGGTACCGGGAGTACCGAACTTAAAAGGCAGGAGCCGCCCTTGGCATCCATGTGGCGCTCACCCCGGGGGGTCGCGCCCGTGGACAAGTGGAAGCCGCCCGTACCTAACCCGAGGGGTCAGGCTGCCCCGACCCCTCGGGGTGGTCCCCACATGACCACCATGCAAAGATGATTCGTGGACGCCGCTCCGCGCCCACCTAACCACATTTAATGCGGGCGGAGCGGGCGTTCCTCGCCACATTAAATGTGGCGTGCCGCTCGCCTGACCGAATCTTGACCGAACGTGACCGGTTGAAACAACGGACGAGACAGCAACAGGCCACGCGTGGTCTGCCCTAGTGTCATGCGGAGTGCGGTAGGTGCGCCCTGTCCCATCAAGATGACGAGAGACACAGCGCCCGGGACAGCGTTCCCGACACATCCAAGCCTCAAGTCTACAACCATTAAATGAAGAATGACAGGGATCCTCCTCCATATCGGCTTGTGTCAGCCGGCATGATTTGATGGGGCCCGCTCGACAGCCGATGATCGAAATTTCCAAGCTGTAGTGCAAGACACGCGTTTAATCTAGAGAATATTTGCCCTTTTTACTGGATGGCACATCCGATGCGTGTAACAACCCCTTGGAGTATAAAAGGATGTGGACGTCCAGTGAGAGGGGGAGGAGAGAGGAGAATAGGAACACTTGACTCTAGTCTGTACACCAGAGATTCAGAGACTTTCAAAGCTCAGAAAAATCATCATACACATGAGTAGGGTATTACGCTTCTTAGCGGCCCGATCCTGTATAATCTTTCCTGTCTCGCCCGCTAGGTCGCAGCCCCGACCCCCCTTGTTTCTTTCTAATACGCCCAGTTCCTCAATCTACATTCACTGCCCCCGGCCGAACTGAAGAAGGAGGGATCCCCTGCTCGAGGAGTTTATCCTCCAACAAAGGCCAAGAAATATTTGGCAGAAGTTTAGTGGTTGTCCTTCTGTGGTGGTGGTGTTCTGACTTCACTCCAAATTCAAAATTCAGTAATTTTCTAGCCTAGTGCTGGGAAAGATGACTTGTTCAAGGACTATTTACCTACTCGTTTTCTCGAGTTCGTTTTCAAGGGCTACTACCAGTGATACGAATTAGATATACCTCCTATACTTAGATTCGTGACCACCAAAAGTATTGCATACCTAACATTATGCAGAAAGGTATATAAGAACAAGAACTCCTTCCACGGGAATAGAAGATATTGGATTCTAACATGAGGAAGGCAAAGTCTTATATGCCCGTATCCTACGAGGGCTCTTTGAATTCTACTTGGATAAGAAGTTGTCTACTTATATAAATACAACGCCTCTCTAGGAGGGGAGGGCATCGAAAAATCAAAAGCCATAGCCACAAGCCACATTGCAAAATCAACCAATAGGAAGACAATAGCTAGCCGTCGACTTCAAGTAGTCGGATTAGTTCACGGCGAATACTACTCCCTCTATCCCATATATAAAGTGTGATCAAAGTTAGCACGGTCTCCAAAACTAATATTTAGTTTATAATTTCTTATATACTATAAAATTTTTATCAACAAAATTATAACCATATAAAAGTAAATTTAAATCACAATCTAATGATATAGTTTTTAACAAATAAAATTCATTTCATATTATACTAAGTGTTGGTCAAATGTTTTAAAGGTTGAATCTTGAAATACGTGCACACCTTATATTATGGGATGGAGGGAGTAGTTGGTAGCTAGTTTGCTTCCCTATTATAATAAAGTGATACAACCTAGAGCTATATATAAAGTGAACTAGAGTTATTATCTATCCTGAGGTCCAAACCAGTATAAAAATCCATTCTCCCACCTACTTTACCTCAATCTCATACAACCTTAGTATCAACGTTTTCTATACTATACAGATATCATGGTCGGGAATAGCCCCTTGATATATATTATTCTGGGGCTGAAAGTTTTTTATGCCAAAATTTTGTATTACCAACTAATTTGTCTTGTAGCTGGTCTGAATCAAACTATGACGCTGGAGAAGTATGGTTTGCTTTCGCCTTCTCTGGTTAATCTAGTTGGCTGAAAGCACTGTAGCACATGGTTCAGAATTCCAACCGCAGAAAATGTCCTGCAGGTCTTCAGGGGCAGTCACAGAAGTCACAAACCATCTGCCGCCTATAGCCAAATGGTTCGACAACATGCACGTAGACGTACGCGTGAACTACATTCGAAACCAAGATGAGCACTCGCAGAAACGTGCCCGGATATTTGAAAATATAATCGAAAAGATGATTCATGCCTTTGCTAGGACAGTAGGAATTTTATCAGATTTTCGACACAAGGTAAATATGTATAGCTCACGCACTTTTAAATTTAGTTGTTGCAAAGAAAAGAAGACCGAGAAATCAATCAGATTTCTGTAGAGAAAAATCAAGTAAAATGTAAATTAGACCATTGCCACGGCCCATGGCCCATTGGTATCATTGAATGGACCACAGTACAAGTTGCTGATATTTGAGAAAAAAAACCCTATATAACTATATTGCCTTAAAAAATAACACAACTTAGTGTTCCATTGGAAGAACACAACAAAATTTGAACTTCTGAATTAATCTAGAGGCTGTTTCTTCGCTTTCTATTTTTCATCCTTGATTTCTACGCCCCTCAGAGTAGACATACAAATTTATACTATTATCTCATTATTGTATACTCCCTCCGTTTCACAATGTAAGTTATTCTAACATTTCCTACATTTATATTAATGTTAATGAATCTAGACATCATTAACATCAATATGTCTAGATTTATTAACATCAATATGAATGTGAGAAATGTTAGAATAACTTACATTGTGAAACGGATGAAGTAGTTATTTGTTTGTTACGTTTAAATAAACACAGATATTAAAAAACAAAAAGTAGGAGGGGGTAAAACGGAAAAAATGCAAATAGGGTTAAAGCAGGGTTTTGGAGCTCGCTGTCACGCTCATCAGTCTAATCCCACCCATTTCGGCTGCGCTGGCTGCCACCATGTGGAGCCTCGCCGTCGCGAGCCCGCACCCCGCCGCCGCCTTCGCCGCGGCCCGTCCCCGCCGCGGCCCTCGCCCCGCCGCCGCCCCCTCCCACAGGTCGTCCCCTCTCCTCCCATCTCGCGCGCCTCTCGCGTCCCCTGCGGACGTCTCGTCGGTTTCTCCTCGTTGGTTTACCCTGGGCGAATCCCCAGAGTTTTTTTATTTGTTTTTTTTGGGTGGATTTGTTCGTGTCGAGGATGCGCGATTTCATTTCCTTGACCGTGGTTTTTTTTTCCAGTTTGTCGATTTTCTCCCCTCTGGTGATGCGGTTTGTTGGTTTCCTGACTGGTGATTATTTATATATGCAGAGGTGTGAATCCGCAGCGGTGGCGATGTGAGAAGACTCAGGCATGGTCGTTTTGGAGCTCTCTGTGGTTGGTGTTCTTCATCGTGAACGGTTTTCTGTGCATGGATTGAATCCCTTCTTGACTGAAATTGTCATGTTGTGAGTTGGCGTTGGGTCACAGACATGAGGGTTTTTTTCTTTTCGTTGTTGTGCATTTCGCTTAGCTGTGATTGATAGCGTGGTGCAGTATTATTTCTAAAGGGAATTTGGGGAAATGCATATTTGGTGCATCATGTATGTTCTATCGAAAGCTGTTGAGCAGTTATACTCCTTACGGAATGTTAACGTATTCTTATCAGATAACTGTCTTCTTATCAAAATATAGCAACCTAACGGTCTTCTTCTCTAGTCAATTTCTACTCTATCAGTTCTGCATTCAATAAAATTATTATTTCTATATCATCTTTGGTAACCATCAGGCAATGTGAAATTTCAGTGAATGAATCAATCCTTCCTCTTTTTTTTTTCTACTTTTGCTTTATTCAGGGCCAGCGACCTTCCAGGAGGACTTTATGGGGATGTTTCGAAGAATATGCTCAAGCCAGCTGCTGGTAATATTATCTATCATCTTTCATGGCCATTGTTTCACTATGTTGAATTTGTTCCTTTCTCCCAGTTCACTTTTAGTCTAGTCTAGATTGTGGTATAATTTTCACCCCTTTTTTGACGGAGAAATTCCATAGGCTAGATTCCATTACTCAATTGGAACTGTTCTTTGATTAAAGCTATTGCAGGGTACTTATTCTCATTTTTGGTATTGCATCTCAGGTTTTGATTTTGATACAATTTAACCACTATCAATGTTATTGTTACTATCACATTTTTCTTTTAGCTTTACTTCCCCTAAAGTGGTAAAGAAGGCTTGTCTTTGTCTCATTAAGATAACAAAAAATAGGAATAAATAGTTCGTTCATTGTATTGATAGAAGTGGATCATTAATATATTGCCATCTAAGTTTATGAATTTCTTCTCAGCTGTTTCAGTTGAGCAAGCTGAAGCTAGTGCTCACCTTCCAAAAGGTGACATGTGGTCTGTGCATAAATTTGGTGGGACCTGCATGGGAACCTCCCAGAGGATTCAGAATGTGGCTGACATAATCCTTCGCGACCCTTCTGAGAGGAAACTGGTAGTTGTGTCTGCAATGTCTAAAGTCACTGACATGATGTACAACCTTGTAAATAAGGCTCAATCAAGGGATGATTCTTATATCACTGCACTTGATGAAGTTTTCGAGAAGCATATGGCAGCAGCAAAGGATCTGCTTGGAGGAGAGGACCTTGCAAGATTCTTATCTCAGTTGCACGCGGATGTCAGTAACCTAAAAGCAATGCTTCGTGCAATTTGCATAGGTTAATCACACCCTATTTTTCTTATCTTTCTGTCATATGTTTTTCTTTTTCAGTAAAATAGGTTGTCCTTTATTTTGTCCAACTTATGGAGAGGATTTACATGGGCCCTTAGTACTTCTGTGCTAACTGCTGACTATTTACAATTATGTACCAATGGTGTGGTTTGATTGCAGATATATAGTCTTAGCTGAGTTATGATACATTTCCCTTTTTGCAGCTGGGCATGCCACGGAGTCTTTCTCAGATTTTGTTGTTGGACATGGAGAGATATGGTCAGCTCAATTGTTGTCATTTGCCATAAAGAAGGTAACAATGAACACACTAAAAGAAATTAACATCTCTATGGCACAAAGCAATTACTCTCGCTGTAGAATTCATGCATAGAACCTCCTTACACTACAGTAGCTTCAGTAATAATTGCTCATTGGATCATCCTTTCTTCTGTGGAAATCCGGTCAAGCCACAGCTGAATGTAGTCTATATGCACCTTTCTTTTTTGAGATAGAACTAGCAGTGCTCGATCTCCTTTTCTGAACATTATTATTCATGAGAAATAAATATTCTATTTTATAAGTGCATAGGAGCTTATTTTAAATATTTGGGTGTAGTTTTACACTTGTACCAAACCATTTGGTTCTTTAATGTTGTTATTATCAACAAAACCAATTTGTGCATTTGCATTTAGTTTAGAGTAATCTCTATGGAAATACACCTACTATATTCAGAAGGCACTGCTCATATAAAAATATTACCTAGCTTATACCTTTAAAAACATGGACTTACACCAAAATATCTTACACTATGCAGTCTGGAACCCCTTGCAGTTGGATGGACACACGAGAAGTTTTAGTTGTAAATCCTACAGGTTCCAACCAAGTAGATCCTGACTATTTGGAATCTGAGAAACGACTTGAGAAATGGTTCGCTCGACAGCCAGCTGAGACAATAATTGCTACTGGGTTTATTGCGAGTACACCTGAAAACATTCCTACAACCTTGAAAAGAGATGGAAGTGATTTCTCTGCAGCCATAATTGGTTCACTTGTTAAGGCTGGTCAGGTCACTATCTGGACTGATGTTGATGGGGTCTTTAGTGCAGATCCCAGAAAAGGTAATCTTGTATCAACTTACTGCCTTGACACTTATTCTGGAAATTTACTACCAGTTTTTTTTATGTGTTATGCAATATGAAATGGAGATAAAATGCGTGCATGCCATTTCAATCTCATCATCTTTTTTTGTCAAGGCTTATGCCTCCATGAAGAATTAACAGTATGTTTGTGTGACTGCCTGCTGAAAGAACATAATATATTTCTGTGGCTAAGTCTGCATATTCAGGAGGGGTCATTAGGCTATGTCAATATAACTTATTAACTTTACCAAATTGACATTTTTATCAGTAATTATCATCATTAGAGTGGAGGCACATAATTCTTGTACTGATCAAAAGTATCAAACAGTTTCTAAGGTCACCCAGTAATCTATTAATATCCTAATATAAACAAGAGTACTTCACAGCTAATTCACAATTAAGACTAAACTAGCAAACCACGTATGTATATGTGAATCTCTATGCATCCACATACTTAATGGGGCTATTGGGTTGCAAATGTATGGGCGGATCCAGGAAGAACTAATAGGAGGGGCTGAACAAACTATACAAAACTATAGCCCCCTCCTCTAATGGATGTATGACAAAAAAAAATTAGTGGGAGCTTAATGGGGGCTCCCATGGTTGCAACGTCGGTAGTGGGGGCTAGAGACCCTGACACCCCCATGGCAGATCCGCCAAATCTGTTCTGTACACCATTAATGGGATTGCTAAAATTATCACACCACATTTTTCTCTCCTATACGTATGTATGGTTCTATCTCTCAGATCTCTTTTAATCAGATAATAAATCACTTCTAATCCTGATTCTCTTTAGTGTATTACAAAAATTACAATATAAATTTGAATCTTACAATGTAATTACAGTGTAAGTTTTGAAATTTATGGTGTAATTACAATGTAAGTGTAGATAATTTGCAATGCAAAAACGATGCTATTTTTTGGTGAAAAATATGGTGCCACCAATATAGCTACTCCCCATCATTAATTAAACATAAGTGAGTTAAATATGTCGACTTTATTTCTCTATGCATACACTGCATTTTGAGTAACCTTACTCTTTGTATAATGTGTCCATTTTGAGACATATATAATAAGAGCATCTGATTTGCAGTTAGCGAGGCTGTCATATTAAGCACTTTATCATATCAGGAGGCGTGGGAAATGGTAATTTCTATACTATATCTGGACACATTTTGATTGGTGTTATGATCATACTACTACATGTTTAGGCATTCAAATAACCCTCTGAGCTTGACAGAAGTTGCCTGGTGCAAGATAGGCTATTCCTCAAATAATAACAACACTTAAGTAGTATGAGTCTGTGAGATTCTGATGAAACTACACTAGGCTTGCTTGTTAGTTACTCAGGTCATATATAAGGAGAACCATTTCCATAGTCTATTATACACTAGAAACTATTGGATTGTGTTTCTTCAGTATCTTGTAGATAACTTGATTTGTTTTCTGTATGCAGTCGTATTTTGGGGCAAATGTATTACATCCGCGTACCATCATACCTGTGATGAAATACAATATCCCAATTGTTATAAGAAATATGTTCAATATTTCTGCCCCTGGTACCATGATCTGCCAGCAGCCTGCGAATGAAAGTGGTGATTTGGAGGCTTGCGTCAAAGCATTTGCAACTATAGATAAATTGTCTCTTGTTAACGTTGAAGGGTAAGTTTTTCTAAGTTAGCACATTTCTTATTTTGATCCTTCAATATGTGAACCATATATAATCTGAATTCAGTCACCAGGCTACTTTGATGATCTTTAGCAAGTTCCAAAGAATTGTGTCTTCTACTCTCAAATAATTTTCTAGTGCCTGGAATCTTGATTTTACACACTTTGCTGACCTTTCAAGGTTAACATTAATATAATAGAAGCATAAATAAGCGCATTTAGGATTTACTAGTGATTGTATTGCCATAATAGCTCATTAATCTTTGGTGCAGAACTGGAATGGCTGGTGTTCCTGGTACTGCAAGTGCCATATTTGGTGCTGTGAAGGATGTTGGAGCTAATGTTATCATGATATCGCAGGTAGATAGTGTTTTGCATCTCTAGCATGGCATATGATTGATGAAGCTTCATCCTAACTTCAAAGCATGTGCAGGCTAGTAGTGAACACTCCGTATGCTTTGCTGTACCAGAAAAGGAAGTTGCTGCAGTTTCTGCAGCTTTGCATGTCAGGTTCCGTGAAGCATTATCTGCAGGCAGGCTATCTAAGGTGTGTTTATGATATTTTTTTTCACTCTTCATGTTTATTAAAATGTTCTATTTCCATTGTGAACTATCCATTTCCAAGATATGGATTGCATGATAATCAAATGATGGTTATAATAGTTCTCGATGGGTATCTGATTTTCTTTTGAATATGAGAAAAATACTTTGAGAGAACTCAGCGGTTTTGATTGACATAGATGTGTTATTGCCTAAACAAATTCTACATATGTTACAAACTTAGCACTCTAGTGGGCTGTCAGTTGTGTAGAATACTCTCTGTTCTACACTATAAATATGTAATGATGATATTATGCCCTCGAATTTGGTGGTGAAGAAAAAAATTACACTTATGCGAAGCCAGGGGCAGCATCAGCCTGGGGCCACCATGTCAAGGTTGAGGCTGCGTATGAGTCATGCTAGAGAAGGGCGTGTATCATTACTTCTTTGTTTCTTTGGAAAGAATGAGCCAATATCCTTTAGTTATATCTTTGGCTAACAACTGAATCTAATAACATACTAGGATAACAAGCCTTCTAATATGTTGAACAAGATGAGAAGCCTGATCTAACCCCTGTAGTGTGTAACTGTATGCTGCTCCAGCTGCTGTCCCACCTGTGGTAGTCTGGTAGACACTCTTGTGCGCCATACGAGTGGCTGGCTTGCTGCAGTGCTGGTACTTAAGCCCAACCAGAAAGGTGGTCTTCGTGTAAACTTCCATGATATAAAGCATTAAATCCTTAAAAGCAACATCCTGAGGAAAAATTAGAGCTACAGGCTGGAAATCGACCTAAGAGGCTTCTAATATGACCATATCAAACCTTATTGTACTAAAATGTACCGAAGCTGGTTGGAACTAACTCGATTGAGGGATGTATATGTTCTGTCTGCTTCCTTCATGGTTAGACGTTTAGTGAATGCTGCACAATCTCTCCATGATGTGGATATGATATTGATCTGCCTACTTTATTATTTAGATACGAATTTATATTTTCAGGTCGAAGTCATTCATAATTGTAGCATCCTTGCTGCTGTCGGCCTGAAGATGGCAAGTACTCCTGGGGTCAGTGCAACCCTTTTTGATGCACTTGCAAAGGTAATCCCACATTTTAAGTTTTGTATGCCAACCATACAAGAGGTCTTTTCAAGGGACCAGACTAATTTACTTAATGATGGACCCAGGCAAATATTAATGTAAGGGCAATAGCTCAAGGTTGTAGTGAGTACAACATCACTGTTGTATTGAAGCAAGAGGACTGCGTAAGGGCTCTTAGAGCTGCTCACTCAAGGTTCTTCCTCTCCAAAACCACACTTGCTGTCGGAATTATTGGACCTGGGTTGATTGGTCGTACTCTCCTTAACCAGCTGAAGGATCAGGTATATCATGCTCCATATCCCTTTTTGTTATCATAATGCACAAAGAATAGTAAACTATATTTCTATTGTGGAACACTGGAACCTCACTAGGACTAAGAACATAAGAAGATGCACTTACACTTCCATTATCATGATATCTATCTAGGTCACTCTTACCATAAGGCTAATTGCCTAATTTAGACCACTTCTATTAGTATTCTAGATTTCTAGTGTTACGTTAGTCTGCTCTATATTTTTCACCATGTTTGAAGACTCTGGGAGCAGCCACTCACCAACTCTCAAGTAGTGGCTATCTGATTTCTGATAAATCAGTAGATGAGACACATCCATCACATCTTCTGGCTGGTTGGCCACTATCCTTCCCATCTCCATTCTCCACTATCCAGCTCCTGCACTGTCAGTTGCCACATTCAGTTATTGGTGCCACTCCCACCAGATGGATCAATCTAGATATGCAGGATTGTATGCAGATCTGTTCTTGGCTCAATTTACTCCTATACCTGTTATTCCTAGGTGACCTTAGTTCCACTGTAGCAAGTTTCTTTGATCAGGGAATGAATGGCATGTACCCTCCACAGAAACTCACAGGCAATGTAACTTCTAGTTCTAGCTCTAGAGTACTTCTGTCACATCTGATCTTCTGGTTGTAAGTTGTTTTCTGCGGGTTCAATTTCAGTTGGATAGAAATACATGAGCAAAATATAACAAAGGAAACATTTCCATATTCTATTGTTCTTAGTTGCCTGTTAATATATTAGATTTGCGTATGATCTCTAAAAAGGGTGTGCGGTTGATTGGGTTAATTTATCTTTTCACAGAAAAGCAATATGTAAGGTGCTATTTTCTCTTTGACTGGGTTTTCCTATTGCACTTTACACTTATACTTAATTACTCTGCAGGCTGCAGTTCTTAAGGAAAATATGAACATTGATCTGCGTGTCATGGGAATCACTGGTTCGAGGACAATGGTTTTGAGTGATACGTATGTTAAATGAATCTCCACTTCCCTCTTTTCTTTCCAAATTAAATCTCTGGTGCAGAACACCACAATAGATTTATTAGCTCGGTAGCTATTCTTGTTTCGTTCAAAACTTCCATGCTTCAAAAAGTGGGCAAACTCTATTTTTGGCCCGCGAACTTTCATCAAAGTTCATTTTTCACCCTGAACAATATTAAGTCTTAGGGTAGAATTTGTCCAGTTTTGAAAGTTTAGGGGTGAAAATTAACTCGTTTTATAGTTTACGGTGAAAATTGAACTTCAACAGAAGTTCAAGGGTTAAAAACGGACTTTACCCCCCAAAAAAAAAATTATGTACATGAACTCTATTGGTCAAATTGTCATGTCTGATGATAGCATATGCAAATTTGTGTCAAACAATTGCTTTACTTTCTATTGGTTGCCCTAAAAACCTGACCAGACAGAATATTGCAGAAGGGTTGTAGTCAAGATTGTTTGCGGATGTTGCTGTATGATAAGCATTAGTATTAAGTATTTACAAAAGCTGAATGTTTCTTTGTCCTACCAAAAAGTTGATTGGTTTTTCATGATTTCTGACTGATGTTTTCTATTTATATGCTAATCTACAATGTTCTTATCTGTATATTTCTTATGTTCTTTCTGTAGAGGAATAGATTTGGCCCATTGGAAAGAGCAGCTACAAACTGAAGCAGAACCAGCCAACCTTGACAAGTTTGTTGATCATTTGTCCGAGAATCAATTATTCCCTAACAGGGTTTTGGTGGACTGCACAGCAGACACAAGTGTTGCATCCCACTATTATGACTGGTTAAAGAAGGGAATCCATGTCATCACGCCAAATAAGAAAGCAAATTCAGGGCCACTGGACAAGGTAATTTTTTTGCCTATCAGCAGGCTTTGCTATCAAATAAATGCATATGCCTTTTTATTTTTAAATAGTTGATCTTCAAATGAGCATATATTTTTTATGACTGATTTATTCAGTAGAACATGGTTAAACATATTGATGGAACTAGACACATGTCAGCTTTGTATGGATGTGAGAAGAGTCATCCACAGTTTTTAGTACAGTTGAATTTACAGTGCTAGATATAATTGGTTGCCTTTATTGACTAATGAACTTATTTCCCCTGCTGCACAGTATTTGAAACTTAGGACTCTACAACGTGCATCATATACCCATTACTTCTATGAAGCAACTGTTGGTGCTGGCCTTCCTATCATTAGCACTCTGCGCGGTCTCCTGGAAACAGGTGACAAGATATTGCGTATTGAGGGGATCTTCAGGTCAGTTTGAGCACATGATTACATTGTGTGGCATATCAATTTTCATATGCTATTATAACGCATGGGTGGAGTAAGATACTTAACAGATACTTTTATTTAGTGAATTTAGTGTGATGCTGCCTGATAATATGCTCTGCTGATTGTTCAACTGCAGTGGAACATTGAGTTACATTTTCAACAATTTTGAAGGAACAAGAGCTTTCAGTGATGTTGTTTCTGAAGCAAAAGAGGCTGGATACACTGAACCTGATCCAAGAGATGATCTGTCTGGAACTGATGTAGCCAGAAAGGTACTTCTTCCATCATAGGCTTATCAACCTACATAACTATACTTCCTATTGACTACTCTGCATAACCTGCTTCTATTGGTGGTTTTGAGTAACACGTCATAAGAGATGGAAAATAATTTTATGTGCCTTCATGCTTCAGGCTACTCTACCAGGCTCCTCAGTCTTTACACTCTTCAGTTGTATATCTGTCTTTTCTTTTTTTTCTTTTTTTTTTGCGGGGCAGTACATATCTGTTTGAATGGCACTTAGGTTACACTGTTGAAAATAAATAAAAGGGAACCACAGTGTAGGTACTGAACTGGAACAAATTATATTTTTGTTTCCTCTTGAGCCTAATTTATCACAACTTCCTTATCTAGGAACAAATTGACTGTCTATGTTTTCAAGATATAAAGGGTTCACTCATGGACCTTGGTAACTTGAGTTTAGTTTTCACCCTAAATGGTGCCTTTTCACATAGGCTGCTTCTATTGGTGGTTTTGAGTAACACATGACATAAGAGATGGAAAATAATTTCATGTGCCTTCATGCTTCAGAAGACAGCTATAGAAACCTTGTCAGGCTCCTTTTTTCCTTTCTCCTCTTTGTGCCTTATCTCTCTTTCTCTCTCTCTCTCTCTCTCTCTCTCTCTCTCTCTCTCTCTCTCTCTCTCTCTCTCTCCCTCTTATCTGCCTTAGCTGCTCCTTGCCTTGGCTATACAAGCAGCCTCTCAGTTGGCCAGAAACCAAGGCTAGATTTGCTCAGGGGTTAATGATTGGGGTACTGATGATTGGAGTAAAAATTATAAGAGGAAGGAGAACTGAGAGAGAGAATATACACCGAATATTTGATGGATGAATTCATGAATATTTGCTCAGGAGTTAAAGACTTGCATGATTGATAGGTGCACAATATTGAATTCGTTTTTCACTATGCTATCTTCTCTATCCTTTTCAGTTTTTTTTATAATTTAAACAATATATGGAAGAACATCAATATTTCACACTTGTTTTGTGAGAACATTTATTCTTTGTTCAATTGGTTTTTTTTTTTTTTGCCAATCAATTACTTTTGGAACAGGTAATAATTCTTGCTAGGGAATCTGGATTGAAGCTTGAGCTTTCTGATATTCCTGTAAGGAGTCTTGTGCCGGAGGCATTGAGAGTAAGATTGCATCCTTCTTGACGACTATACCTTGATATTAACACTCTAATTAGATTTCTGTTATGCAGTCCTGTTCAACAGCTGATGAATACATGCAAAAGTTACCATCCTTTGACCAGGACTGGGCAAGAGAGAGTAAAGATGCTGAAGCTGCCGGAGAAGTAAGTAGATCTGTTTCCATGTCTCAAAGTAACCGTTATTGTTTGCTGATATTTTCATATCACCTCATGATTACAAACCATGCTGTATTTCAATAGGCTTCATATTAGTTGTTGGTTCAGTACTTATTGTTCGAAATTTATGATAGAAAGCCTGCTGAAATTATTATATGTATTATATGTTGTCAAAATGAAGGGTTAATATTATCATCTATATAACTACTGATTTTCAGTAAACATTATTCTGATCGTGTTGTCATTTGCTCTGAATACATCACCATATACTTCTCCATGCGAGATTCCAATCTAAGGGACTAGTCTAAACCATCTATTCGTTTAGGTTTTGCGGTATGTTGGAGTGGTGGATTTGGTGAACAAGGAGGGTCAGGTCGAGCTGCGGAGGTACAAGAAGGACCACCCGTTCGCGCAGCTATCTGGCTCCGACAACATCATCGCCTTCACGACGTCAAGATACAAGGAGCAACCGCTGATCGTGCGAGGCCCGGGCGCCGGTGCAGAGGTGACCGCAGGAGGTGTCTTCAGTGACATACTACGGCTGGCCTCCTACCTAGGCGCTCCCTCATAAGCTTTGTAGCAGGAAGCATTTTCTGATGGTGGTCAAGATGGCTTTGAATCTTGTAAGGTTGCCTGGTTTCTTCTTCTCTTTTCCTTTGCACAAGCATTCTAAATCACAGTGAGGAAATAAGCCTTTGTTCTGTAGTGATGTTCGTCAAGGGCAATAGGTAGGAGTTGTGCAGGTCTTGTTGGAAAACAATTCTTGTTCGTTGCAATAATGGTGTGGTCGTCAGGTTTGTTTTTGATGGTGACGCTAGTGAGGTGAGACGGCATTACAAGTGAAGAATCAATAATGCAAAGCTTCGAATCGTGATGATGGAAGAAAAAAAAAATCCAATTGTGCAATGCTGCGTAAGACCTGAAAGGTGGCAATGTCTCTGGGACCGATTCGATCGACCTTGGAGGTTCACTTTACATGTCTTACGACCTTTAATCCTGCAGAGTTTGGTTACAAAAGGGCTTGGGATTGAATTAGAATCCATTGGTTCCTACATGTCTTACTACACCAACAATCATTAATCACATCTCAACCTAATACTAGCGGAACAGGAGCATGATGATTCCTAAACCATAGGTTACTCCATGTTCTAAACTTGAAATGAGCTCACTTGGTTAGATAAAACGGAGGTAGGTTACTCCATATTCTAAACTTGAAATCAGCTCACTTGGTTAGATAAAACGGAGGTTGTGCATTAAGAGACTCGAAGCGGCATCATGCTGGTCAGACTTCAGAGAGACCGGCGTTTGTACAGGAACTGAAGTAGGATAGTGTCATGTGTCTTGAATTGAAGTATAAATAAATTGACTGTCTGTCACTTACTAATTTGAGTGGAAGGCATATACCATGTATGGTTTTTTATGACGTGGAGAAGAGGGAATGAGGAGAGGGAGAATAGTGTGTGTGTGTGTGTGTCATTATATACCCTTATACTATGTATTATCTATATGATCAAATCATTAATTACACGAATCTCCTATAGACAACTAATTTAATTAGGCGCATGCAGCTGCAGTTTCTGTGTTTTTCTTTAGTGTAGAGGGCTAACATTTGGCAAGGGGAAATGATGTACTAATTTTTGTTATACTTTTACATAGTTTCAGTACTTATTTGGCAAGGTGGCAATATCAAACTTTTAACTCACTACTACACAAAAAAATGTTGTTATAGTTAATACACGAAAAATAATAAAATATTAATATTTGATACATTGACAAACTAAAGGATTATCTTTTTTTGAGAAAAAGATGTTTTTTAGAAAAATATATATACTTTTACATATCATTAGTAATGTCATAACTAGAAAAACTAATTATCAACCATATGTGTTAAGCTTTCCTAAGGAAAACCATAGATATGCCCTAAATAAAAGGAAAACAATAGGGTTCCCATATAACTAAGGCTGCATCCTGGAGAGAAGTATTCTCCCCGCATACGAAAAATGAAACGCCTCATTTGTGCATAATTGATTAAGTATTAGCTAAAATAAACTTAAAAATGTTTATTATAATATATTTTTTTCAACAACTTGCCCATATTTTTTTAAAGAAGCTGTTTAACGCTTCGTAAAACGTGCACGTAAGAAAATGGAAGGGTGAAAATTGGGAAGACGGAGCACTGAAATTTATAGCTACACAAGTTTTCCGTTCCGCATATATTATACAGATGTATGATGTAAAAATAATTATATTCTCCATTCATATCAAAATAAATTAATCTAGGATTGGGTGGAAGGTCATTCAACGAATCTACACAAGTCATGGGCTTTGTTTGGAAAGAGCTCAAGATATTCTAAGAAGCAGCTGGGTGGTAGCTAACTTCTGATAATCTGGAAAATTTAGGTTTCTTAGCTTTTGGCTTCTAGTTCTTTTCTGGATTTTATAATTATAGCTTATTAGAATCTAAATGAAAAGCTGAACTGTTTAGGGGAGAAACTGTAACTGTCAGAAGTTTCCCAAACAAACCCTAATTGGTTTATTTCGGAACAGAAGGAGTTGATAGCAACTGTTTGAACCTTTTATGCCCTTAAATGCCCCCTAAGGGATCTGTGAACCCCTACACTTTTTAGAGATTAGGCTCATATGTAGTTTGGTTCATATTCAGGTTTGGATAGAATATGATTATCCATATTTGCAAGTATATGGTGATCCTGTTTTTTAGTTGGTTGAATATGACCATCATTATTTTTTTTTGTTAGATGGATGAGAATGGATAGAATAAAAACAATAACATATTAATTAATAATAAAATATGTTAATTAACAATAATATAACTATAATATATACTAATTAACAATGAAATAGACTAAGAGGAAAAGAGAAAATTGAGAAGATATGCAAAACGAGGTGAGCTATTAGCACTTGATTAATTGAGTATAAACTATTTTAAATTTCAAAAATAGATTAATATGGTTTTTAAAGCAACTTTCCTATAGATTTTCTTTTTGCAAAAAACATACTCTCTCTGAAACGTTTCAGGTTATAAGACGTCTTGACTTCGGTCAAAGTCAAACTATTTCAAGTTTGACCAAGTTTATAGACAAAAATAGTAATATTCATAATACTAAATTAATTTTATCAAATCAATAGTTGAATATATTTTCATAATAAATTTTTTTTGGTTGAAAATGTTACTACTTTTTTTCTACAAACTTGATCAAACTTAAAGCAGTTTGACTTTGACCAAAGTAAAAACATCTTATAACATGAAATGGAGGGAGTACCGAGGGAGTACCGTTTAGTAGTTCGAGAAACGTGCGCATGGAGATAAGACAAATCTCCTCTCAATGTCCTGCTGCCAAAACGCAGGTTCTAATCAACACTAATTTTACAAGTCAACTACTAAATAGCAACAAAATACATTTTGCTAATTAATTGCTAACTATCAAGATTAATAAAGGTTGATATCCTCATCCAGTCAATTTGACTAGATATACTCATCCAGTTTCTTTGTGAAATATTTTCTTTCCGTTTAATCCCATCATTTCCCTATTTCCCACCATGTAAGGCCGTGTTTAGCTTGTGTACCAAAATTTTTTTTAAGTATACGGACACACATTTGAAGTATTAAATGTAGATTAATAACAAAATAAATTACAGATTCCACCTGTAAACTATGAGATGAATTTATTAAGCCTAATTAATCTATCTTTAGCAAATATTTACTGTAGCATCACATTGTCAAATCATGGCGTAATTAGGCTCAAAAGATTCGTCTCGCAATTTACATATAAACTGTGTAATTGATTTTTTTTTCGTTCATATTTAATGCTCCATGTGTCAAAATATTTAATGTGATGGAATTTTTGAATGTTTGAAGTAACTAAACACTGCCTACTAAACACACTGAAAACCTGGATCACCATCTTTCATCCAACCAAAAACACCCTATAGCAGCGGTCGGGGCAGGGCGAAAAGGTGGTCGCGTTCGTCGGCCAAAAGCCAAAGTTTGACCGCACAAAACAGCGAGTCTACAAGCAGAAGAAAGAATCATCGTTGCTAGCTACCTGTACCCCTTTAAATTTGCCCCAGCAATTTCAGCTCAATTTTGGATGGATGCGCCCAACTTACTTCGCGTCTACTTCAATTCGCACCGCCATTCTTCCTCTCAGCATAGCTAAAGCTAGCTCAGCATCGTCATGCTCCAAATTTAGTCCAAGATGAAGTCTTTCCAAAATCCATTTGTTTTGTCCAAAGAAATCTTTGCCAAAATTTTTCTACTAGTATAATACTATCTCCTGCTTCGGTTGCTCTTGCTCGCTTAGTTAAATAATACTAAGGACAGTATTCTACTTGGCCGCCTTCTTCTTCCTCTTCGCCTCTACCTGCTGCATGCCGCTTTACCCCTTCTCGATGCGGGGTTGGATTCCGACGAGATACTTGAGCCGACGAGAGGTAATCTGCTTCTCTCGCCTTCTCTCTCCGTTGTAATATGTTCTTTGTCCTCGATGTGTTTCCGATTTTGCTTTTCGCGGCAAAAGACTTTCGGTGTTGCTTTTTGCGAGGGTTTGTGTTAGTGTTCTTGATGGGAAGATTGCCGGGTTTTTTTTTTTTTTGCTGCTTTGCTTAGCACTTTTTTTTTATGATTTCTTGGACAATTTTGGAGCCATTTCGTTTAGTTTGAGTTCTTTCGGTGTTTTTGACGCCTGTGAGGTTTCTTTTATTCTCTAAAATTTTCGCCGAGTTTGGCGTTCTCTCCCAATTGTTTCTTCGATATTTTCTTGAAGAATTGAACTGGGTAATTTCATTAAGATTGAATTCGGTGCGAAGTTTATGTCAGGTTGTTGCACACGAATGATTTTTTTTTAAATTTTTTTTGCAGTTTGATTCGAATCGAAGCTCCTAGTCTTCTTTACCATGTGAAGAAATCAACTGGTTCAGCATCAAGAAGCAGCCATGGCCGCCGTTCGCGTGGTGGCGCCGGCGCCTTCGGTGCTGCTGCTTGTGGCGGCGGCGGTGGTGCTGCTTCACCTGGCTCGCGCCATTGCCGGCGCGGCGGACGAGGCCGCGGCGCTGCTCGCGTTCAAGGACGCGTCCGTGGCCGCCGACCCGGGCGGCGCGCTCGCGGGCTGGGCCAACTCCACCACCCCCGGCTCGCCGTGCGCGTGGGCCGGCGTCTCGTGCGCCGCCGGCCGCGTCCGGGCGCTCGACCTCAGCGGCATGTCGCTCTCCGGCCGCCTCCGCCTCGACGCCCTCCTCGCGCTCTCGGCGCTCCGGCGCCTCGACCTCCGCGGCAACGCCTTCCACGGCGACCTCTCGCGCCACGGCTCGCCGCGGCGGGCGGCGCCGTGCGCGCTCGTGGAGGTGGACATTTCGTCGAACACCTTCAATGGGACGCTTCCCCGGGCGTTCTTGGCGTCCTGCGGCGGCCTCCAGACCCTCAACCTGTCCAGGAACTCCCTCACCGGTGGCGGCTACCCGTTCCCACCGTCCCTGCGCAGGCTCGACATGTCGCGGAACCAGTTGTCGGATGCCGGCTTGCTGAACTACTCCCTGACCGGCTGCCATGGCATTCAGTACCTCAACCTCTCGGCCAACCAGTTCACCGGAAGCCTCCCGGGGCTTGCACCTTGCACTGAAGTTTCTGTTCTTGATTTGTCATGGAACCTCATGTCCGGTGTACTACCTCCAAGGTTTGTGGCCATGGCTCCAGCCAATTTGACATACTTGAGCATTGCCGGTAACAACTTCTCCATGGACATCTCAGACTATGAATTTGGTGGGTGTGCAAATCTCACATTGCTTGATTGGTCATACAACAGACTACGTAGCACAGGGTTGCCGCGGAGTCTTGTCGATTGCCGTCGATTGGAGGCACTTGACATGTCTGGGAACAAGCTTCTGTCTGGTCCAATACCGACGTTCTTGGTTGAATTGCAAGCACTGAGGCGACTCTCACTAGCGGGCAACCGATTCACTGGAGAAATATCGGATAAGCTGAGCATCTTGTGCAAAACGCTGGTTGAGCTAGACTTGTCAAGCAACCAGCTGATTGGCAGCTTGCCTGCAAGTTTTGGACAATGTAGGTTTCTTCAGGTGCTTGATCTTGGCAACAACCAGCTCTCTGGGGACTTCGTCGAAACTGTCATCACCAACATTTCTTCTCTTCGTGTGTTGCGGCTGCCGTTCAACAATATTACAGGGGCAAATCCACTGCCTGCACTTGCTTCCAGGTGCCCTCTGCTTGAAGTCATTGATCTTGGATCCAATGAGTTTGATGGCGAAATCATGCCGGATCTGTGCTCATCATTGCCGTCACTTCGGAAACTTCTCCTGCCAAACAATTACATTAATGGAACAGTGCCATCATCACTGAGCAATTGTGTCAACCTTGAGTCTATTGACCTTAGCTTCAACCTGCTGGTTGGTCAGATTCCACCAGAAATATTGTTTCTTCTGAAGCTTGTTGATTTGGTCTTATGGGCAAACAATCTCTCCGGTGAGATACCAGACAAGTTCTGCTTCAATAGCACGGCATTGGAGACATTGGTGATAAGCTACAACAGCTTCACTGGAAACATCCCTGAGTCCATTACCAGGTGTGTGAATCTCATTTGGTTATCACTTGCCGGCAACAACCTGACTGGGAGTATTCCCTCAGGATTCGGCAACCTCCAGAATCTTGCCATTTTGCAGCTTAACAAGAATTCACTCTCTGGCAAGGTTCCAGCAGAGCTTGGCAGCTGCAGCAACCTCATCTGGCTTGACCTCAACAGCAATGAGTTAACCGGCACAATACCGCCACAGCTAGCAGCACAGGCGGGGCTCATCACCGGAGCAATTGTCTCTGGCAAGCAGTTTGCTTTCCTCCGTAATGAGGCTGGCAACATCTGCCCTGGTGCTGGTGTTCTGTTTGAATTCCTAGACATTCGGCCAGACCGCCTTGCCAATTTCCCGGCTGTGCACTTGTGCTCCTCCACAAGGATATACACTGGCACAACTGTATACACTTTCAGAAACAATGGGAGCATGATCTTCCTTGATCTTTCATATAACAGCTTGACCGGTACAATTCCAGCGAGCTTCGGGAACATGACATATCTTGAGGTCCTTAACTTGGGTCACAATGAACTTACCGGTGCAATTCCAGATGCATTCACTGGGCTCAAGGGGATTGGTGCACTTGATCTCTCACACAACCACCTCACCGGTGTCATCCCTCCGGGGTTTGGGTGTCTGCATTTCCTTGCAGATTTTGATGTCTCCAACAACAACCTCACTGGTGAAATCCCAACATCAGGGCAGCTCATCACATTTCCAGCATCCCGGTATGAGAACAACTCTGGACTCTGTGGTATTCCCTTGAATCCTTGTGTGCATAATTCAGGCGCAGGTGGTCTGCCCCAAACTTCTTATGGGCATAGGAATTTTGCTCGACAAAGCGTGTTCCTTGCAGTGACACTCTCAGTGCTCATACTGTTCTCCTTGCTGATTATTCATTACAAGCTATGGAAGTTCCACAAAAACAAAACAAAAGAGATACAAGCTGGTTGCTCTGAGAGCCTCCCAGGATCCAGCAAATCAAGCTGGAAGCTTTCAGGTATCGGTGAGCCATTGAGCATCAATATGGCCATATTTGAGAATCCATTGAGGAAGCTCACCTTCTCTGACCTACATCAGGCCACCAATGGCTTTTGTGCGGAGACACTCATTGGGTCAGGAGGGTTTGGTGAGGTTTACAAGGCCAAACTCAAGGATGGTAACATTGTGGCTGTCAAGAAGCTGATGCATTTCACAGGCCAGGGTGACCGGGAGTTCACCGCAGAGATGGAGACCATTGGCAAGATCAAGCATCGCAACCTTGTTCCATTGCTAGGTTACTGCAAGATTGGTGATGAGCGGCTCCTTGTTTACGAGTATATGAAGAATGGCAGCTTAGATTTCGTCCTACATGACAAGGGTGAGGCTAATATGGATCTCAATTGGGCAACAAGGAAAAAGATCGCAATAGGCTCGGCCAGGGGGCTAGCATTCCTCCACCACAGCTGTGTTCCACATATCATACACCGGGACATGAAGTCCAGCAATGTGTTGCTTGATGGAAACTTTGATGCCTATGTGTCAGACTTTGGGATGGCGAGACTCATGAATGCGCTCGATTCACATCTCACTGTGAGCATGCTTTCAGGAACACCTGGATATGTGCCACCTGAGTACTGCCAGGATTTCCGGTGCACAACCAAGGGCGATGTGTACAGCTATGGAGTTGTGCTCTTGGAGCTCCTCACAGGGAAGAAACCGATTGACCCAACTGAATTTGGTGACAGTAATCTTGTTGGCTGGGTGAAGCAGATGGTGGAGGACAGATGCAGTGAAATATATGATCCTACATTGATGGCCACGACATCTAGTGAATTGGAGCTCTATCAGTATCTGAAGATTGCTTGCCGCTGCTTGGATGACCAGCCTAACCGCAGGCCTACCATGATCCAGGTCATGACAATGTTCAAAGAATTTCAGGTTGACTCGGGCAGCAATTTCCTCGATGACTTCTCACTCAATTCAACAAACATGGAGGAATCATCTGAAAAATCAGTGTAAATGCTTCTGGTTCTTGCAGATTTTGATTGTTAATGGAATGTAAGTAAACTAGTTTAATCATTTTAACTTACAGGAAAGAAAAGTAGCCCCTTTTGGTAGGTGAATTTGCAGTTTTGGTTTCAGTCAATGTACATAATACACAATAACAGGAAGAGACACAGACACAATTGTAGGCTTCTTTTGTGTAGAAGATTGCCTCTTTAGTTGTAGAGCCAAGTATATATATCTTGGAACTAAGTTCCCATGCTTGTACATATGTTTTCCTACTGAGAAAGAACACAACACAAGCTTTTGTAAGTTGGAAATTGCTTATGTTATGACATCGTTCTGTGATTTGCATGGTGATGTTGCAATTTTTGCCTACTGTTTGAACAATTTGCTTAAAAACTGACCATATTTGTCCTTTTTCGTAATAAATAAAAATATGTTACCACGTCTATCTTCAGCTCTGATTGATTCTTTCTGCTGACAAGCTTAAAAGAAGTGTCTTAAATCTCACCATACACTCTGCAGTAAGTATTTTACTATTTCCCCTTTACCTTTCGTTTACTGTAGCAAATAAAAAATTTAGATAATAGCAAATCAAAATTATTACTGTGGCTGACATCTTATTTCTTTTAGAAATCATAAACTTCATATCTGCTATTGTCATCAACTGTTAGTCTTGTTGACAATACATTACAGTGTTAGATTTTGGTTGTCATATCTTGACAATAATGAATGGCATAGTGAAGGCATCATTTCCATGTACTAAATTTTCCAATCTATTTTATTTACAATATTAGTTAAAACAGATTTTGCTAGATTTGGTTATTTGTTCCTAATGGTAGTTGTTGACAAAATGATAATCGTAATTTGATATTCGTAACTCATTCACCATTTGCATTTCAGATTCCTTGAGTTACAAACTGCTGGTGTGGCGCCATGCAAAGTCATAGAGGTACATACCTGCCTACCTTCTTTTTGACATTTCCTGATGTTACTTGCCGTCTTGGCCTACCATGGCCCATTGCTGTGGAAGGCATATATCATGATATCGGTTCATACTCAGCAATCCCTTATTGTCTAAAGTTGGACAGTTTTTGCAAACATATTTGCATTTCTTTTAGAAACACAGTACAAACGCAGACACTCACAACACGCGCACTGCGCACACTCACCCCTATGATCACACACACGCACACTCTATCCCTATGATTACCTTTGGAAGACTAGACCAACATATCTCGAGATTGATGAAGTCATCACGGAGGCACGGACGCCTTGCTGTCAACGGGTACGTTGCCTACTACTGAAAGAATAATTTGTCCTAAATACGAGAACCGGGTGGGTTGGTTCCACCACAAGGATTTTTTTTTTTTTTGCTGTCAATAAGATGGCTGCGTGCTTTATTAATATGTGTCCAATGATGCCTATCACGTGTGGTCAAAATTAAGCTGAAAGCCATACTCTTTTGAACTCTGAGTACTAGATTACCTCATTACTTGACTCTTCCCTGATGATGATAAATCAGGGTCAATCAGCAATCTGGTAGCATTATGATATTATCAACTTGGTGTAATTTTCTTCCCTTTCTTGATTATTCCGCGAGAAAAATGATGAATCTGCTAGCTTTATGCGACAGATTTTCAATCAACAAACTCATCAGTCTAAATTCTTTTGGTTTTTTTATATCAAGCACGGTGATCACTAATCAGATATCACTTTCAGGGGGTTGCTTGCTTCCATGCTGTGGTTCAAAGGATTCGGTGTTAGGTTACAGGTAAGATGCGTTGGTTGGCCTGAATTCTTCGCGCGTGCGCTTCTGACAGCGTCATCTGGGCATGGGATTGGATCAGATTTCCACAGTCACCATTTCACTCATGCCGATTATTATAATCCGTAACGGTTTATTAATAACCAAAAAAGTAATTTGTGAATAAAAATTTTATATATGTATTCTACTATTCTTAGCGATTTAAAAGCAAATACTGGAAAATAAACTAAGATGAAAAAAAATCCCAAAATCAACTCTAAAATAAAGTTTTATAATTCATTTTTCGCTGCGGCTTATAAGCTGAAGGGTAAACGATAGAGTTGTTCACGCTTTCAACCTGAAGAAATCATTCATGGCATTGATGCTTTTCCTTCCGTCCATGCGTAAACGATAGAGTTGTTCACGCTTTCAACCTGAAGAAAATATTTTCTTAGCTTCCTGATCATTCATGGCATTGATGCTTTCCCTTCAGTCCATGCGTAAGATAGAAGGGGATCTGTGCACGGGTGTTGTGTCAAGTTAGGTGCAAGACTGAAGACTTGCAGGACAGTGACCCCTTGTCTCACATTCTGAATTTCTGATGAGTGAAGTGCATCTGGTACAAGAGTGGTTTGTTAAAGTACTAATCAAGTTGTGCCATTTTGTAATTCTTTTCGTAATATGATCACAAACCTTTACACTTGGCAACCCCAGTTTGACCAATTTGCCAATTGGGTTAAAGGACGGAGATTAATTGTAAACGTTAACAACGTAAAGTTCAAGCTTGAAATTACTTTGAGTTTGTCAATATATTTCAAATTAGTTACATACAGCTATTGCTTTTGGAGCTTTGGTAGTTATTAACAGTATATATCACTAATAAAAAGGTCAAAAGGTCGATTTAATACAATTCATCGAATCAAATTATGTTTGTGTATAAAAACCATGTTATCAAATCATATCACTAGGCACCATTTAAGTACATACTCTGTTTTGCATGTTATCACAAGATAACCTAGCTTGTAGAGTTTGTACTTCTAGAAGTGTGATCTTTGTGTTTCCAAAAGCGAGATCCCATGCACACTATTGTCATATATTTGTACCTAAAAATTGACCTTAAATTGGGTGGATTGCCAACGCCAAGTGGGTTAAGAAAAAAAAGGAAATGTGAACATGTATACTCTTTTGGTTGCTTTCCGTTTAACTTGAGCAGTTCAGATAACATTAGGGCGAAAATGCACTGAGGATCACATTGATATGGATGAAACATCTGGAAAAGTAATCTCTATGGTAGTGTTTGGTTTGGGGACCAAGTGGGATGGGTTAGACCTATCCCTTTTTTTAGGATGGGATGGTTCCGGTTGTGTGTTTGGTTTGTGGTATAGGATGGTTATAGTTTTTTGTTTGGTAGAAGGGATTGAGGTGGGATGGGATGGACAGTGTTTCACGGACCGTTAGAATGGGGGACGGAGGAGCAGGTCGGCGCGAGCGAAGGAGAGGCAGCGCCGCAGCGGAGCCGAGCGGGAGGCGGCGGGAGCTGACGACGAGCGGCGGCGGCCGGTCGCGGAGGCGGTCGCGGACGAGGCGGAGGCGGGCGCGGAGACGAGGCGAGGAGCGGTCGAGCGGCGGCGGCCGGTCGCGGATGAGGCGGCGGACGTGGCAGAGAGCAGGCGGGGGAGGGATGGGTGGCCGTGGCGGAGTCGAGTGGGAGGCGGCGGGAGCTAACGACGAGCGGCGGCGGCCGGTCGCGGACGAGGCGGAGGCGGGCGCGGAGACGAGGCGAGGAGCAGTCGAGCGGCGGGGGCCGGTCGCGGATGAGGCGGCGGATGAGGCGGCGGACGCGGCGGAGAGAACAGGCGGAGGAGGACGGAGCGGCGCCGGGAGAGGGAGCAGGCGGAGGAGGGACGGGCGGCCGTGGCGGCGCCGCGGCGGAGCTGAGCGGGAGGCGGCGGGAGCTGATGACGAGCGGCGGCGGCCGGTCGCGGAGACGGTTGCGGATGAGGCGGCGGCCGGTCGCGGACGCAGAGGAGGACGGAGCGGCGCCGGGGGAGGGAGCAGGCGGAGGAGGACGGAGCGGCGCCGGGGGAGGGAGCAGGCGGAGGAGGGACGGGCGGCCGTGGCGGCGCCGCGGCGGAGCCGAGCGGGAGCAGACGCCGTTCTCTCCGTCGAAGTGGGATGGATTGGTCCGGCCGATTTTGGCGGACCGTTTCGTCCCGGATCTGGGAGGAATATTCCTCTCCAGGGACCATCCCATCCCACTCACCTCTCAACCAAACACCTCTAAAAGTGGGTTCATCCCATCCCATCCCATCCCATCCTCTCAACCAAACACTACCTATGCTATCGCGGCAATTGTTCAAAGTCCCGAAGAAAAACCAGATTTACTAACGGATTATCTCATCTAATTGTTGGCTTTTCTATAACTTTGACGTGTGGTCTTTTTTCTTTAGTTAACTGATGTTGCATTGTGGTAGTTAGAAATGCTTCATATGAAAGCCTTTTCTCGTTAAAAAAAAAACTAGTGGCAGTGGTGGTCGTGATTATTTTTTTTTCCGATTACACGGAAGATGCACATTACTAGCCGAGTGTGTCTCTCAAGATGTTGAAGAGGCCAATGGCAAACTTCTAACGTCACAACGAATTATTGAAAGCCACCCATCTTCTCGATATGATGTTTTAATAAAATACTCCTAAAGGTGTTTCACAAAAAAAAAAACTCCTAAATTTTTGTTAATATTGCACAAGAGTCTTTCCACACCACTTTTATCTAATGTAGAAAGGCTTAAGATGATCAAATGGGCGTGAATATGAGGTATGAGCTTATGTTAAGATTGTTCTTGCAAAAATAAATGTTAAGATTGTGTTTTTCAAACACTATCATTCTATCAAGTTCTTCCCTGTAAGAAAGGTGGTGTTTGATGCGAACAGAAAGAAAACCCACTCATTCGTTCCATGCAGCAAGTATGATTACTTTTTATACTATAGCGAGCGCCCAGGTTTATATCTATTTTACAAAACGATTTTGCTAAAACATATGGCGAAGAATTTTTGGGAGAATATCAGTCCATTTCTTGTCTGTTTGATCTGATGTGGGCCTCATTTTTCGGCCTAACCTAGCAAATGGGCCTTTAGCAAGTTAGGCCCAGTATAACTTCTGTCAGAAAAAAATGGGCATTTGCAAATTTACCACCGGTTTTTTAATATTGTAAAGATGCCACTCGAATGACAGTTCTAGTGGCATTTTTGCAATTTTCTAGTGGTAAATTTGAATTGCCTAAAAAAAGGGTCAACTTGGCAGGCCTACAGATAGTTGGACCTTTTGAAGCACCCTAACGAGGGGCCGCCTAATGGGAGCCCCCCCCATCCCCCTATACACTGCTCTCTTCCTTCCTCCACCCCTTCTTCTCTTCCTAATACACCATAAATTTAAAAAAAATAAAAAACACAAAGTTGAAAAAACTTATGTATAGAAATACTATATAAAAAAATTTGAATTCAAATTCAAATTAAAAACAGGTATGTAAACTTTGGGTCTATAAACTAATATTTGAATTCAAATTCAAATTTGAATTGGATATGTAAACTTTTGATTTATAAACTTTGG